TTAAAATAAAAGTTTTGTGAAAATCTATCGATAAATATTTTTTTCACTCTTTTTTCATAACTCCTGATGAATATCATTCTAACGCATATATTTTTTTGACAACAAAATAAAAAATCATGCAGTAAGGAGATATGATTTTGGTATGATGACCTTTTTTTTAGTTAGGAAGATGAAGAAGCATATGATTTTCGTACGAGGACCGTTGTTTTTAGAAGTTAGGAAGAGGAAGGATGATATGATTTTGAGAATTTTGTTATAGGGGCTTCTCAGAAACGGGAGGAGGGAACTAGCAAGAGGCTACAGCAAGGAGGACTTTACTCGGAGCACTTTTTTTTAGAAATGTGTTTAGGACTCCGTCAAATATTTCGCGTTTCAAATAGGTTCCGTCACCAAAAAAGTTTGAGAACCGTTGATCTAAAGGTAATGCCCCCCCCTGAAAATTCGTCCTGGAGCCTCCCTTGCAGAGCGGTACATTTTGAATTGGTAAAATCACTTTCAACTGATAGTTTTATAATGGCTGTAAGACGATGTTTACAGCAAGAAGATCCAAAGTTTCAACTATATATACGGATAACGGCTCCAATTTTGTAGGTGCCAGTAATCTTTATAATCAAATAGACTGGACTAAAACCATCGAATATACAATATAAAGCAAATCAAATGGATTTTTAATCCACCTACTGCTTGTTGGCGGGAGATTATGGTCAGACTAGTTAAGGATATACTTCGAAGAAATTTAGGAAGAAGTTCATTTAATTATGAAGAGATAATGACAATTTTGTGTGACACAGAAGCCGTTGTCAATGCCCGACCTCTTACATACCTTTCCGAAGAAGACAACTTTATTCCCCTAAGTCCCTCTACCTTCCTAAATGACGTAGGGAGTAGCTGTGAAGTGCCTGATTTGGACGCTATTAATCGAACATATTTAGTTAAACGTGTGAGACATATACAGAAAGTTCGAAACTAGACGATTCAGAAGAGAATACTAAACTAATCAACGTTGGTCAAAGAAAACAAAGTACCCTAAAGGTTGACGATGTAGTTTATATAGGAAATGACAGTAAAAAAGCATGGGGATTAGCCTTTAGGAAAAATAATTGAGGTATATCCAGGAAAAGATAAAATACCCAGAGTAGCTAAAGTAAAAACTATGAATGGGAATCTTATTCGACCATTTCAGAGGTTATTTCCACTCGAAATATGTGAAACAGATTCTCAAGTGTTAAAAACACGTTATCTAGAAAAACATTTAAATTTAGTAGAAAGAATGGCAGGAAATTCACAACACAAAGAAGAAAAAAGAGAGGCAGAACTCAGACAAGATGAGAAATGCAAGAAAGAAAAACCTAAAGAGACATATACCAGATCCGGAAGACTTTCAAAATTACCAGTACGTTATGGAATTGATAATTGATTATTCATCATTTTCGTTTATTTTCCAATCTTGGAAAAGGGTGAAGAATGTAGGAAATAGAATTGTTTATGTGAATAGTTTTACATTCAAAAACAAAAATCATTCTGTAGAGTTAAAAATGTCAGAACTGATTAATTAATTTTTATAAAAAGTCATAACGTAATACAGGGTTGGCCAAACCTCTGTCGTAGTTCTATAACACCTACTATGCAAATCTTATTTGATTTATTTGATGTATACCTGTCAATGGTGGCCAATACCAAATATCCCAAAATTATTTTCTTGTGTACAGGGTGGCCCAATAGTAAATTAGGCAAATCACTTAATTTTTTTTAAATGGAATGACCCAACTTTTTTTACAATTTTAGGTACTCTATGGTCACTAGTACATACCCACAAAATATTGTTTCAAACATCCCACCCCTTTCGCAAAAAAAAATTACCAAAAAATATTACATTTTCAGACGCCTATTAAAATATGCAGTGCTCTCTCGAATTTGATGTTAGAATTTTAAAAACTACGATTGTATAAAGCCAATAGACCAAAGATTTTTTTGGACCAAGTTTGAATTTTTTATTTTGTACAGGGTGGTCACAAATTAATTTCACTTTCCAAAAATTTCGAGGGAAATTTTTTAAAATTTTTCAAATGTATTACCCTGTATTTCTATTCATCAACTGAAGGAGAATTTCATACCCTTCTACTTCCCTATGTACTTTCCTATACCTATCTGTCGCCGTTATAAAATAAATTCAAAAGGAAGAAAATTACGATAATAAAATTTATTTGAAATTTATCCTAAAACATAAATTAACATTTTATAAAAGATGCTCAAAATGTCTGCCATTTTCTCTAATGCATACATTTATTCGTTGGGCGAATGATCGAGAAACGTTTCTAAGCATATCAGGTGTAATGGAATGGAAAGCTTGCACTATCCTTTCTTTCATATTTTCAGGTGTTGTAGGTGGCGTAAGATAGACTAGATTTTTAATATAACCCCATAAAAAATAATCGGGTTTTGTTAAGTCAGGTGATCGAGCTGGCCATTTTTTTTGGACCATTTCTACCAATCCATCTATTTGGAAACTTTTCATCTAATTCATCTGCCACTTCGCGTAAAAAATGCGCTGCTGCCCCATCATGTTGGTACCACATTGTTAGTCTTACAGCAAGGGAAATGTTTTCAAGTAAAGTAGGAAGATGATTTGCTAAAAAATCTAAATACATCAGACCATTTAAGTTGCCTTCAAAAAAATACGGCCCAATAACATGATCCTCAATTATACCTCCCCAAACTTTTACACTCCCTCTTTCTTGGCTATGTGTTCTGATGATGTTAGGATTTTCCGTGGAATAATAGTGGAAATTATGTCTATTAACGAATCCGTTCTTGTGGAATGTAGATTCATCAGAAAACAGCACTCTATAAAAAAAAATGGATTTTGTTGCAGTTTAGTTTGTGCCCAGTTACAAAACACCATTCTATTATCAAAAGCGGTGTCTTTCAGCTCTTGATGCAATTGTATTTTATAAGGATGATATTGATGCTGTTTTAAAATCCTTCTAACGGATGTTCTACTTATACCTACTACTTCGGCAATCTTTTTTTGACTTATATGAGGATCTTCTATCGCTGTCAAAATTACAGATAATTGGTTATCATTATCAGTAGCACGTTTGTCAATTATTGGTTTTTTATAAGCAACATTTCCTGTTTCGGTAAATCTTTCATGTAACTTTTCAAAACTTTTTTGATCAGGGATGCGTCTATCGGGATATCGTTGATGATAAATTCTTTTTGCCAATAAACAATTTCTGTCGGATTCTCCCAAAACATAGACCATGTCAATTAATTCGTTTTTCGTAAAATTCATTATTAATAGAAGAATTATCGCGATCAGTAAAAATAACTTGACACTTCATTAATAAATAATCTGACACTTCATTAAGACCCAGCCTACTTGATTGAATGTTCACTTTCAATAAAACCACTGGTAGAAATTGGATTTTTGATAGATCAATGTCTTTTTGGAATTTACTTTTAAACCACGACAGATAGGTATAGGAAAGTACATGGGGAAGTCGAAGGGTATAAAATTCTCGTTTCATCGATGAATAGTAATACAGGGTGTTCTATTTGAAAAATTTCAAAAAAATGTCCTAGAAATTTTTGGAAATTGAAATTAATTTGTGACCACCCTGTACAAAATAAAAAATTAAAACTTGGTCTAAAAAAATCTTTGGTCTATTGGCTTTATACATTTGTAGTTTTTTAAATTCTAACGTCAAATTCGAGAGAGCAATTTTAATAGGCGTCTGAAAATGTAATATTTTTTGGTATTTCTTCTTTTTCTGCGAAAGGGATAGGGTGTTAGAAACAATATTTTGTGGGTATGCACTAGTGACCATAGAGTACCTAAAATTGGAAAAAAAGTTGGGTCATTCCAAGAAAATAATTTTGGGATATTTGGTTGTGACCACCATTGACAGGTATACTTCGAATAAATCGTTAAGATTTGCATAATAGGAGTTATAGAACTACGACAGAGGTTTGGCCAACCCTGTATATTATTATTTACAACCATATATGTAATGTTGTCATTACTAACGTCATTGAAGGTTGGGAAGTGTCACATTACACACCTCTACTTCCCGCCCTCATTTCATCTTTCTAGATGAATATTTTTTATTTAAAAAAAAAAAAAATAACACATTTTTTTGATAAATTTTATAATACCTATTCAATGGCAAACAAAAAACAACAATGAACTAAAATACAACAAACTACTTATTGATATTTATTATTCGCGAATTTAATATCCGGCTTTATCTGACATTTATTTATATTGGTGACAGTTGTTTACCCCGTAATTACAGTAACAATATATTTACTTGATTATTCTAAGAAAACCGCGCGCTTGGTAATTTGTCGTTAAATGAAATATTTTAGGTATGTTCAGAACGAAACAGAGATTTATTAACTTTGATCGAAATATGATGGTTGTAAATAAAATAGTATACAAACCTCGGTAGGAAGTTTCATTCCTGTCTCGAGATCATAGCTAACCTTGACGCTTCGCGTCTCGGTGATCTAACTAATTTCACTACAGGAATGACACTCTTCCCACCTCGGTATGTAATATACTATTAAAATAGCGATTTATCTTTAATTACGTTTCCATCTTTACCCCTCATTAACAATACTGTCAGTAATTTCTGAACTATAATCACAAACTAAAAAGTTTTATAAGAGAATACCTAATTTCGGTGTTTGTTCACTAAATAATACAAATTTCAATCGCAAACTAAAAAAATTGAATTTTTTTATCTTAAAGTAATTCTATTTAACGTTGAAATTAGTAATATTATTCAAATCCTTTAAATTATCAACAAAACACCAACAAGTCTATGCATATAAAACTATGTTAATATACAATATGGGTGTATTATGGCATTTATTAATAAATAAAAAAATAACAGTCCTTTGAAAAATAAGAATAACAGAAATATATCTCAAGAAACAGAACAGTATTTCTAAATTACAAGAATAAATTCATTTTAAATTTCAAAGTAACTTACCGAATTCTGTTCAATTTTATTATTTCCTTGATGTGTTTCGTTTGATGAATTCTTTTGTTCTGTAACCCTAGAACTATTTCAATTAAGTTTTATTTAATAATATGATAAAAGAAAGTGAAGTAAGAAAAAGTGAAATACAATTTTTCAATTGAAGGCATTATTGTAAAAACGTGACAAGCCACACTTTTTAAAATAAAGGCATTTTTACTTCACAGCAATTAAGGTTACAAGTTACCATCATTAGCCGAAAAATGACAAAATTATAGTAGGTTTAAAAATTAGTTTACTTTAACCTTTAAAGACGTGTTTCATCAATAAATTAATGTTGTGATTTGTCATGTTATTCCAATAAACCCTTCAATTATGAAAATAAATAATTACCAATTACCCCTATGAAATTATGAAAAATACAACCCTCATATCCCCAGAGTGAAAACAAACCAAAGAAAAATTGAAAAAGCTGAGAATTAAAGAAAAAATGAGAGAATCGACCAGGAATCGAACCTGGAACCTTCGGACTGTACCCATTCATGCTGTTACCAAAGTGAAGTGAGACTTTCACTTTATTCCCAAAATTGTGCAATCAAAAAACTAGTAACTAGTCCTACTTGTCAACACTTATTCGAATAATGATCTTAGTATTTACGTCGACGGTATGCGAACCAGGCTAAGAAAATTTAGACATAACGTGCTACTTAGCTCATGATTGTTTACAAATATTTTCTCGTTAACTGACAACCACATACTTTGATTTTCTTTTACTATACGGAGAATGGTCGCACTGCGCAGCTTTCTGAGTGCCTTTTAAAAGGAGATAAAAAACTCCGCCATTTTGAACCCTTATTACGTGTTGCCTACATCTTGGCGCAATATTTTTAATAGGTGCGTTTTAATCATCCGCTTCTGCTTCGGAATTAACGGTTTTCTTGTTTTAATCTGACAGGTTAAAACGACTAAACCGACAATTCCGGAAGCAGAAGCAGATGATTAAAACGCACTGATATTTTGCTTGCTGCTATCAGTGTCAGTGAATATTATTTTTGAAGTCACAGTTTATTGCTAAAGAATCAGTTAGCTCACTCGGACCAGTTGAAAGTTCCAAAATAACATCCACTCCAGGGATACAAATTCAGGATACGCAGAAGACTGCTGTTTTATTATAGGCGGTTGTCATATATTGTATTATTCGAGTTGCACAGTGTATAAACTGAAACATTGAGATCAAAAGTGCCGACGCAGAGTGAGCGATCTGATTCTTTAGCTGTAAACTGTGTCACAGGGTTCAAAATGGCCGCGCCCTATGTTGGGCGTGTCGGACCTCTCTCTTGCCTCGTATAGTAATCAAAGTATGTGCTGACAACACACACTTTTTTATACGTTTCACAAGTGTAAACTTTGAACTTGAACCACACTGCATTTTTCAATACTACCGTCACTATTAACCGAAAATAACCCCACAACTTCTTACTATAATACATAATATAGAAGGCTAATCAAACAGGGTAAGTAATATTGGGAACTGATCAAGATACTAACTGCAACTGCCTATCTTATCTTCATACCAAATCCTAGGTAGGTAACCATCTTATAATCCCACGCCCTTGTTATCATTTTGGTTTTTCCATGGCATTAGTAATCTCCAAGAAGATGATAAAATAACGATTAACCCTTTAATTATAGATTTCTTGACATCAAAAATTTCCAAGAAGTCAATGATGAATAAAGTTTTAAACAATTTAAAGTAGTTATACCTAATAGTCAAATTTATAAGTCTTTAAAAATATTTGTTATATACCTTGTTGTTAATTTACTCAAACAGATAACTTTATCATTTACATAACAAAGCGTTTATTTGAAAAACAACACATGCTCATTTGATTGAAATTTTGGCTTATCAGTTATTCTCATAGAAAAATAATATGTACATATATTTCAAGGATCCAATACTGTAAAAACACCAGTTGTCCGGGTTAAAACTAGTGCCAAATACATCTAGTTTTAGAAGAACACCTGATGTCCACGCGGTTTGTTGTAAAAACAACACATGTCCATATATAGATAGTTTAGTTCTGAGGTAACTAGATGTTGTTGTTTATATATTGTAATGACCGCAATCCAGTGGCGGCTCGTGATAATACGAGATGATAGGGCCAGATTTTTAACAAATGTGAAAACCCCGCCGAAGGCCCCCCACCCGAAATTTTTTTACCCAAAAGTCGTTTAAAAACTGGCTTTGGGCAAAAATTTATCACGGTATTGTCAAAATAGATATAAAATTTTAAATAAAAAAATAAATGAATGACGGATACTTTTAAATCTATAATATGACTACTATTTATGGGGTTTCTAACACAAGTTTTGCCAAGAAACTAGCCGTCAGGGTTGGTCTTATCCTAAGCTTTGCCAATAAATTACTCTGTAAAATTAATTAAAAATTATTAATTAACTTACCCCCAGTAATTAATTCTGAAAGTCCTTGCAGTTTGTTATTACCATAAAGAGCCTTTAGGTCCATATACGAAAAAAAATCACAAAAATAAAAACTATACTTATTTACAGTATTTACACACGCTCACAAAGTTGCTTGATATACTGGTTTTAAAGTTTCCGATAAATGAAGTCCATTCTTTCTTTTTTGGTTGCAAATTTTTCAATTACTTTATTATTAAAATTTTCAATTCCATTTACAAAATGTTTTTCTGCGAACAACATACCTAAAACACTAAGTCTTTCTTCCTTCATTGTATTTCTGAGGAATGTTATGTTTTAATCCGTTTAAGCATTGAAAAACAGCGCTCTGCTTCAGATGTTGACATAGGTATTGTTATCAAAATACCTAAAAGTAAGAGTTTCCTGAAATGTACAATTTAAACCTTCCTCATTTGACAGCGGGTCAGCTCCGGAGGTGGTACCTAATTCGCCTCTCTGATACAGTACCTTGTAATTCATTTTTAAGCAAATTTTTGTCTAAAAATGAAAATTGTATACATGATTCATTGAGGAATGAATCGGGAAACTGTTGCCTATAGGCCGAAAACTTCTCCGACATAAATAAATTAGAAGCGACCAAATGCCCAGAGAAGTTGAACCTTGTTTTTATTTGCAATAAAACGGCATCGCATATTTCTAAGGCTTCGCATTTTCTGCTGTTCTCTTCAATTCGTGCCTTTTTTCTTATTGGTTCACCAGTTTCTTCTTGCGACGTGTTTATTTCTCCTTGAATATTGTCAATAATGCTGTCCATTTGCTCCCGTATACCTTGAATTGCTGCTTCGAAATTCTCCAAATCTTTCTTGACCTTAACAGAATCTGTGCATACTTTTTGTAATTGGTTAAAAATAATTTCCACGTGAGGCATTATTTGATGAAAAATACTAAACCAAAATATAAAATTTTTATACTGAAGTTTTAATTTGTACCCACTTGCTTGATTAATAGACGGCGAATCGCGTGAAGTACTTTCTATAATGTCCACAACTGTAATGAGTTCTTTTCTATTGTCATAAAGTATGAATACTCGCGACTGAAAATTCCAACGTGTTTGGGAAGATCTTGGCAACCTGCGATTAACTACCACCAAAAATTTTGTTCTTCGAGGAGACGTGGAAAAGAAAAAGCAGAAAACCAGATAAATTAGAAAAAATATTCTAGCCTGCTTATTGACAGAACATGTACTTGTCATAACTAAATTCATCTGGTGTGCATAACAATGAACGTAATTTGCAAGAGAATATGTTTGTTTAATAATTTTTTGCACACCATTTAATCCACCACTCATTACAGACGCGCCGTCATAGCTTTGAGCAATTAATTTATTTGGACTATGTTTTAATAATGGATGTAAAACATTTAAAATGCATTCAGCGATTGATTTGGCGTCGTGTCCATCGAGCATGTAAAACCTTCAAAATCTTTCAACTGGTCGTCATTTACACAAATATCTGAACACTATAACTAATTGAAATTCACAAGCAACGTCCGTCGTTTCATCGGCAATCACTGCAACAAAAGGAGAATTTTCTATTTCTTTCCTAATTTCTTCATGATAAACATCTAACATGCATTCAAGAAGTTCATTTTGGGTGTTTTTGAGGTACCTTTGAAAGCTTTTGAACTTTGAATATGAACCTAAGTCGTTGTCTAATTCGGCGCTAAAATTCACCAGCTCCTTAAATATGCCTCTATTTTCCGAATTACCTTTCTCATCGTGACCCCTTAAAGCTAACTCAAAAGCTCCACAAAACCTTATACAATTTATATTTTGATTTAAAACATATCGATTCTTATCCACTTGTTGATTGTTTAATTAGAGCATCACGATAAGCCGAATTTAACTGGGTTTTTTATATTTACCTTACCAAGCATGGAAAAGCTAAAAACATTGTTCATGTGCACTTTAGATTTTTCATAGGATTTCATTTTATCCCATATATAGACAAGATCGTCTGTGCCTTTTTTTGACCAAGTCTCGTCACCTCCAAACAAAACACATACAAAACAAAACCGTTTATTAGTTTCTTCGCAACCACACAACCTTTTATCATAGTTTTATTAAATTTACGACACCGCGATTTTTGCCCACTTCCACTTTGTTTTTAAATTTTTGAATCGGGAATTGGCCGGCATAATTCTTTAATTTGTAGTTTTTCTTCTAGCTGAAAACCACTAAAAGAGTTTTTTAAGACGCCAAAAAAATAGGAAATAAGATATTTAAACAAGTTTATCGAAAACAAAAAGACACACATTAACGTCACTAATACTTCGTAACGTAACGAAAAACTTAAAAGCGCGTAAAGAAATTCGGTTAATTCAGTCAACAATCGACATTATCGAGAAACCGCGATTATTTGAACAGCTATCGGCGCTGTGCCTGGCACGAAGATTCCTTGATTGTACCGTTTAAATACATGTAAAATGTCCCCATCTCTGTTGCTCACATAGGCTGCTGGTAAAATCTCTCTATCTCCCCTAGTGCCAGCTGAGAAATGGCTCCGGTACGCTGCAAGAGCTTGGAGATTTATGCAGCGCGAGGTTGCCACATTTCAAATAATTTTTGAATATAAAAAGAAATGCATAAAATCAAATAAAAATATGATAAGACGTTTTAAAAATAAGAAATATATTTTTGCATAAAAAATAAGGTAGTGCCATGGCACAGTGGCACTACCTCACGAGCCGCCACTGGTCCTTGATGTTCCAGAAGAATGGAACGACCTTATACTACAGGCATGATGTAAGCCCTTTCTATTCAGGGTGATAAATGCTGGAAAAGAGACTGAATGGTATTTTATGGACGAAAGTTTGAAATCCTTCTTTTTGAAAAATCCCAAACCAAAAATTTCACTGAAACCAGCGCGAATGTATCGAGTATCACAGCAGTATCTGGGTCAGGTTCTAGTCAAAGTTATAATGGTCCTTGGACGTTTCATACCATTGCAGGGAAAAGAAACTCACAAGAAATAGCTCTAATACCAAATAAACGGCAACCTCAAATAAGCAATGTGAAGTTTCGAAACTTAAAGGAACTCAATAAATATCTTAAGAATCCTCTTAATAAAGAATTTTACCTTGACCTAAACCCACAAATAGACGGAGGGAAAAAATCTTCAGATATTGAAATCATTAGTGACGATAACAGCAACGGTGGAGAATAAAAAAGTGTTTTTTTATATAAGGACATGTGTTACTTTTCCAATATTCGTAATTTTTTTCAAATTTTTCGTATGTTTTGTATTTTCAACCAAAATAAATATTATAATATGCTTCTGGCTTAAACATTATTTTCAAAAAGCATCGTTACAAAAATGCATACTTAAACTGTAAGAAGGTAAGCAGTTTTTTTTGATTTCCCAAAAAGTTCACTTTTTTTGGACCTGTGTTGTTTTTCAAATAAACGCTTCAATTGCAAATAACTCAAAAAACATTTTGTAAAGTACACATACCGAAATAATAATAATAATATATATTCAAAAAAATATATTTTTAAATGATAATTTTATGTACCCCGTAAATAATAATATAGACACCCACACCTGAAATTTCCTGATCCGACAGATTTATTACTCCGGCTCGATCACGAATCTACTATAGTAGAAAACTTATTAAATCGTAATCAAGTCAATATTATAATCAAAGAAGAATTCATAAATTTGTTAAACATTTGCTTGAAACAATATTATATTCAATTTCAAAATAACATCTACTCAGCAGATGAAGGTCTTATTATGGAGAACCCATTAAGTCCGTTGCTTACAGAAACATTTAGAAGATTAACAGCAGAATTGCAAGAACATTAAATACACTTTACGAGCCTGATCTCTCGACAGATCGTTAACCTATGAATAATTTGAAGTTCATGTCATTGAGACATGAACATATTCATATTCTCAAATTTTTTTAAAAAGTATCAGGCTCGTACATTTTAATGATAGTTTTTGTAAACAGCTGTAAGAGAGAAAACCTTAATTTAAACATATTTATAAATTTACCTTGAACACCAATCTGAGTTTAATTTCATACTTTTAGAAGAAAAAGGGTTCTCATCATCAACATTTACATCTACAGTCCTTTTTGAAGTGCTAGCTTGGGAATTATCATTAATAATCACTTTAGTTTCTTTGCATGGGGATCGATTTTCTATATTTTCCTCCTCAACTTCTGAAGAATCCTGTAATTTTATTCGTTTAAATGGATTATCATCGTCAAGTTGTATACTTTCAATCTCTTCTCGAATATTTTTGGGTTTTCGCTTTTTTATAGGAGGTACTTCATTATCTAGACTTTCGGGAACAGTTTGATGAATAATTTTTGGTTTGCATTCATTGAGCGAATTTGACTTTTCTGTCTGAGTTTGAGTGTTTTCCACAAGAGGTACATTTTGTGTTGGCAATCCGGCATTTTTAGTGTGAAATACCTCGCTGGCTCGGTTGAAGAGAGGATTACAGTCTTTCGAACAAGATCCATGTATTATAGCCATGGCTATTTCTTGAAATGGAATGGTACGCATACTTTGTTTGGAAAAATGTTTGACGATCTCATCATACGTTTTATCATCGATCAACTGAGTAGTTTGCATTAACAGAAATTCTTGCGTTGACTCAGTAATATTTTTTAGATCAATAGGATTGTTCTCCCAAGAAATAGCGGTTCCACCTAAAATAATTATTTATTTACAAATTAGAAAGTACCTGCACTAAAAAATGTAAATACAAAATGCTTCTTTCACAGAATGGGACATGCTGGGCGCCCAAAAATATGATGATTTAACGCACCTTACCTCTATACCAAGTTGTACCCCTAAAGAGTTATGAAAGTCTACAAGTGGGCCATAAATTTCAAAAATGTAATATCTCTGTAACCATTTAACTTAGAAAATCTATATTTAGTATATTAAATCTATCATTAGTATCTTAATTTAGCGGCGAGTAAGAATTAATTGAAGCACTTAAAGAGATGGTTTGGGGGTTACAACTTTTTGCCCATTGGCCGATTTTAAAAACTTTCATTTCATTTTATGCGATATTTCAATTTAAAACTTTCTTTACTTGTTTAATTTTTTTTTTAAGTAATTGTACGTATAAATTAATATTTAAGTAAATGTGATATATAAATTAGGAGTATTAAGTACAAATAAAATGGTTCAAATAAATAAACGTTACAGCATTATAAAACATTTTAAATTACCTGCTCTTACTATCAGTTGATCCACCTGTTTCTTCTCCTTTTCTGTAAAGAATAGAAAAGTTTTGTTTCTGAATAATTCCTTCCTACATATATCTTTCCTTATTTCAACTTTGTTCAATAAAGCTTCGCCTACTGGTGGATTATTATATTCGTTAATATCTGGAGGAAGCAAACTTTTTGTTATGTTTTCAGCATATTTTGCCCAAAAGCTAGGCAATACTATGGGCTTATTATCCAGTAGAGCTTGTAAAACTTTTACTGTCAAATTTATCGTTTCTAATGTAAGATGGGTACATTCCGAATTCCAGTTATCCACATATTTGCCTTTAAGCAAAACAAGTTGTTTGTTTAATGCATTTTTTTGTTTGGATGATAACTTTGTAGCTGTCGTAACAAATTTTTCTTGCTTCAGACTAAAAATTGTATATTATAAATATTTACATTACTAAACAAAGTCTTAAATCATGTTAGATACTTTTTAAATTCTAACCACACTTTAAACAAGCAAAATAAGCAATTTTTAATATTTTCGGGCGCCATATTGGATTCGCTATTTTGCATTTCTAATTATTAATATTCAAAATCAGTGTCCCTAAAACCCGGGACACCCTCTAGGTTTCATTTTTATGAAAAACAAAAAAAATTAATATTTTTGGGCGCCATATTGGATCTGCCATTTTATATTTACATTTTTTAAAGTCATATTCAAAATAAGCGACCTTAGTTTTATGCGACACAAGAAAGTTTTAATATCTTCTGGCACCATCTTGAGTTTCAATTTCATGAAAAAAAAAAGCAATTTTTAAAATTTTCGGGTGCCATTTTACATTTTTAATTGCTAATGTAATATTCAAAATCAGTGTCCCCAAAAACCACCAGGTTTCATTTAATTATTGATATATTCGGGCGTCATCTTGTATAACTAATTTTAAATCGTATTCAAAATCAGTAACCCCAAAAATCCCTTAGGAACCTCCCAGGTTCTTTTATGCAAAAATTTTTAATATTTTCGGGCGTCATATTGGATCCGCCATTTTGCATTCCTATGTTAATGTAATATTTAAAATCAGTTTCCCCAAATCCCTCAGAATACCGGTGATCCCAAAAACCCTTATTGGTTTCATTTTTATGCAAAACAAGCAATTTTTAATATTTTCAGACGCCATTTTGTATTTATAATTTTTAATATCATATTCAAAATAAGCAACTGCAAAATCCTCTTAGAAACAGGTTTAATTTTTATGCAAAACAAACAATTTTTAATATTCTCTGGCGCCATATTGGACCCGCCATTTTATATTTATAATTTTCAATGTAATATTTCAAATCAGTGTCCCCAAAAACCCCTATTGGTTTCATTTTTATAAAAAACACACAATTTTTAATATTTTCGGGCGCCATTTGTATTTTTAATTTTCAATGTCATATTTAAAATCACCAATCACAAAAACCTCTTAGAAACCTTCTAGGTTTAATTTCATATAATAAGCTAATGGATTATATCCGCAGTCATAAAATCCAATCACACACACAGGTTTAATTTTTATGCAAAACAATCTTTAATATTTTCTGGCGCCATATTGGATCCGCCATTTTATATTTATAATTTTTAATGTAATATTCCAAATGAATGTCCCCAAAACATCTTAAAACCCCCTCTCGGTTTCATTGTTTGCAAAACAAGCAATTTTTAAAATTTTCAGGCGCCATCTTTGGATCCACCATTTTGTATTTTTAATTTTCAATGTCATTTAAAATCAAAAACCGCAAAAACCTCTTATAAACCCTCTAGGTTAAATTTTTATGCAAAAACAATTCTTAATATTTTCTGGCGCCATATTGGATCCGCCATTTTATATTTATAATTTTTAATGTAATATTCCAAATCAGTGACCCCAAAAACTACTTAAAACCCTCTTGGTTCCATTTTTATTCAAAACGAACAATTTTTAATATTTTCAGGCGCCATTTTGTATTTATAATTTTTAATATCATATTCAAAATCAGCAACTCTAAAATCCTCTTAAAAAACAGGTTTAATTTTTACGCAAAACAAGCAATTTTTAATATTTTCGGGCGCCATCTTTGGATCCACCATTTTGTATTTTAAATTTTCAATGTCATATTTAAAATCACCGACCGCAAAAACCTCTTAAAAACCCTCTAGGTTTAATTTTTATGGAAAACAAACAATTCTTAATATTTTCTGGCGCCATATTGGATCCGCCATTTTATATTTATAATTTTTAATGTAATATTCAAAATCAGTAACCCCAAAAATCCTTAGGAACCCCCAGATTTTTTTTATGCAAAATTTTTTAATAATTTCAGGCGTCATATTGGATCCACCATTTTGAATTTCTAATTGTTAATGTAATATTCTAAATCAGTGTCTCAAAAAAACCCTCAAAAACCTTCAGGTTTTATTTTTATGCAAAACAAATAATTTTTATTATTTTAGGGAGCCATATTGGATCCGCCATTTTGAATTTCTAATTGTAAATTTAATAATTCAAAATCAGTGTCCCAAAAAAACCTCTTAGAAACCTCCAGGTTTAATTTTTATGCAAAACAAATAGTTTTTAATGTTTTAGGGCGCCATATTGTATTCTGCCATTTTACATTTCTAATTTTTAATGTCATATTCAAAATCAATGTCCCCAAAAACCCCTCACAAACCTCCCAGGTTTCATTTTTTGCAAAATAAACAATTTTTTATATTTTCGGGCGCCCTTTTGGTTTCGCCATTTTGCATTTATAATTGTTAATGTAATATTCAAAATCAGTGACCCCAAAATCCCCTATTGGTTTCATTTTTATGAAAAACAAACAATTTTTAATATTTTCGGGCGTCATCTTTGGATCCACCATTTTGTATTTTTAATTTTCAATGTCATATTTAAAATCAAAAACCGCAAAAACCTCTTATAAACCCTCTAGGTTAAATTTTTATGTAAAATCAATTCTTAATATTTTCTGGCGCCATATTGGATCCGCCATTTTATATTTATAATTTTTAATGTAATATTCCAAATCAGTGTCCCCAAAACACCTTAAAACCCTTTCCGTGTTTCATTTTTTGCAAAACAAGCAATTTTTAATATTTTCAGGCGCCATCTTTGGATCCACCATTTTGTATTTTTAATTTTCAATGTCATATTTAAAATCACCAACCGCAAAAACCTATTAGAAACCCTCTTGGTTTCATTTTTATGCAAAATAAGCAATTTTTAATATTTTCAGACGCCATTTTGTATTTATAATTTTTAATATCATATTCAAAATCAGCAAGGCATAGAACTGGTAATAAGACTCACCATGTATGTTTAAAATGCCAAATGTACGGAACCTTGATATGTCGCGATTGCCTTGAAAATGTATATTTCATTTTTGTACAACCGTAAGTAAGTAAATTATTATTTTATGTTCGCTGATTAGTGTGTAAAATTTTACTTCACGCTCTAGTGTGTACAATAAAACTATACGCCCTAATATGCAAAGTAAAAACACATTTTAGTATTTTAAATGTCAAAATGTATATAAAGTTTTTTGTCAAATTTTTTTCAAGCAAAGTAAATGTATTTTTTTTTTATCCATATATTGTAGAAAAAATATTGTATGCAACTCGTATTAAAATTCTCTTTTTTGACTCATGTATATGTATATTTTTTCCATAAATAACTATTTTGTAAATAAAAACAGACAACAGTGCAAATATTTTTATATTATATCACTTATTTTTGGACTATTTTGTATATAAATAAAAACAAACATCTTCCTTATAAGCATGCATAAAAAATATTGTAAATATAATTTTAACCTTCTAAGAAAGCACTGTAATAGATTTTTCTTTTTTTCTAAGTTTATTACCAAAAAACTAGAGTTTATTAGATTATGTAAGAAAATTCATTTATTTTATATTATTTTTGTAATGGTACTGATTTGTTAATAGAAATATTTTAAAGATATAAAATATGTGTTTCTATTCTTTAAATATGGTTAAAAACAAACTAAAAAAAAATTACAATTTGATCAACAAATCAAAATTTTGGAAATTTTTAAAAGTGGGTTCAGGTGACCCTCAGCGACCGCATTAGTGTACTTCTAAGGTGCGACCTATCTAGGGTTAAGGAAATAAATAGTCTGGACTGTATTTTCTTAGGCAACCCATTTGTAGTATATTTATAAACATATTTTATTTAATGAAAAGAAACTTTCATCCATTAAACAGATGGGTGAAGGTTGACCTTACTTCAGATCTTAGACCAAGATGTTCATCTCATAAAAACGAATCAATTTGGCCAAAAAATAGCGAAACATCCCACAGTGTAGCGTTGCATCGTAATTAATTAGAGATGGACTGTAACAAATTCGTAAATGTACAGAATTGTTACTGTCCATCTCTAAATTCCTGTGATATACCCGAACTTGGATTTTAGTTCCAGGACGCACTCAGCTAAGTATGGTCTATATGGACTGTGCATAAATTAATGTTTTGTGAAATTTAGGTGCTCTTAATCAGGCATTGGTCATTATCTAGTTTGACCACTTTTTGATTATGAAAAATTAAGCATATGTACTTGTAGGTAATCCTATTGTATTATTAAGATTTTATGAATGCTGACTTTTTGTTTGTGTAATTACTTTGTATCTATCAATTGGAAGTTATTTAACAAATTTTTTTGTAAAACTTGTTGATCAGTATTGCAGTAATATCATTATTAATCAACAACCTTGTTTTTTTCTGCAGATAGATCTACAGTTACCAATCTGATGGTCTATCAACAAAATATTCCTATTATTCGCAATTTTAGTAAAGCTTTTGACCATGTTAATCACAATTTTATGCTATTTAAGTTAAAAACGCTTGGCCTTTCTGATGGTTTTCTGACTTGGCTTGAAAGCTATTTAAAAAACAGTTCAAATGATGAGGATAGCTGTTAGTATGTCCTTCCAATATGACATACCTTCCACCATTACTGTTCTTACTATAATAATATTGAAGATAAAAAAGGAAATGATTCCAAACTCAAATGAGACCAAGATGTAATATAAAATATAAAATCAAAAACACAAAGCCATGGCTAATACCTCACCAGGTATTAAATTACATCAAAAGAAAAAAGCAGAGATAGAAAATATTTTCAACTTTACCTTTAATTTTGTTTACTAAGGAGAAATTCATTCATTCATGAACCAGTTTCTTCCTATTAGGACTCATCAGCAAGAATTAGACAATCTCGACTCCTGTCTCTAATGCCATCAGACTTCATTAACAAACACATTAATATTTTAGACCCATTAAAAAAAAATGACAAATATTGTATAATTGTTATAAGGTAAGACACTTGACACTATTTATTCATCTAGCACCCTTATTCACTCCCTTTCCCTTCCGAAGGTTAATATTCATTTGCACAAACATAAATATGATAGCAAATTCTTCTATAAATGTTGATTTACACATTTCGAAAGAGCAAAATATATATAAAAATCAAAGAGTGGTTAAACTAGATATTTACCCAAATCGTTAGCAAGTACATACATAAATATACTGGAGAGTCCTCCGAATTGGATTTTATCATCGCATTTTATCTGTATTTCAATATTGGGAGTAACTTCCTTTCCATTGTGAAGTGTCTTATATTTAGATCCTAAATCTTTTAAAGTAACTATCTCATCTCGTTTTGTTTCCTAAAATTAAATTAAAACACCCGAATTATATCTTTCATCTTGGAAGATTTATGTCTATAGTATTTTGGATTCAATCATCAGCTCAATATTATTTTTTTGTTATATTTCACCCAACTTACTTTAATTCGAAGTTCAGCATGTTTTCTACTAACGGAAGCATCCTTTTCTATTAAAAAATCGCAATCTCTTCGCCCAACATTGAATTCATTTTTGTTTACAAGATAGAAAGCTGTATCTAAAAATTTTAAGAACTAAAGAAAGGACACGACTAAAAATAATATTATGGTTACATACCACTATTCACACTTTTCAAAAAATACAACATATTTAAAATATTCTTAGAAAAAAAAACAAAACGAGAACAAAACACTTTTACTTATTATTTAAAAATATAATCAACACATAAGAACTGACAAATATTCCAAAACATAACCACAAATATTCTTCTTTTATCTGTATAATAATGAACTACTTTTCGAAAGCAGTGTTGCCTTGTCGTAAACTGAATGTTACCAACACAAATATTCCAAAACATAACCACAAATATTCTTCTTTTATCTGTATAATAATGAACTACTTTTCGAAAGCAGTGTTGCCTTGTCGTAAACTGAATGTTACCAACACTGAACTCTATACTACAGTTCAGTGGTTACCAATTAAAGGGATAAAATTTAAATCATAAACAAATAGAAATGTAACTCGAAGTTTATCAGAAGGATAAAATTTATCCGGTTGTTAACTACCAACCGCTTTACCATGATATACTCTTTGTCATAATATTTGCCGCGTTTGAATATCCACATGGGATGCATCTGAGATGTTAATTTTTTATTTAGGCATTCCAACGACCTGTCCAAATGGCTTCCAATCACATTCTTTAAGGTATTTTTCGCGACATAAACCAACATATAAACGTTTATGGTAGATTATGTTATTTAGGCATGATCTTTCATTTTGGCCGACATCAAGGACCGGAGGGGAAGTTGTAATGACGTCACTGTTTAGCATACTCGAACATGATCTCATCCACAGGCGCAGAGATAGGAAACGCAGCGACCGCAGTAACGATGGCGTCATCTATGCGTCTCAGATGTTAACAAAAAGGTATTTTTCGCGACATAAACGGATTATGTTGTTCGATCATGTTCGTCTATCCCCCCACCACATATAGTATATGTTGGCGCCAAAATGGAAAATCCATGCTGTTTTGAAAGTGGGCAGTGAGTTGAAGTAACAATTTTTTATTACTTCAATTACCTATGTGTGTGTAAACCACGCGATTTTTCCTAAGAGTTTAATTATTTTATATTAATTATTAATGTACCTATTGTCCAAAAATTACAACAAATTCTACTTGTGCTATTTATATTTACAATTTTTAATTGTTGAATAATTTCGTATCTTTCCTCTACTTCAATTTCAATCTTATTTAATTTAAATTTTAAAATTAAAGCCATCTTTTAGCTTTGTATACCGTTTCTAGTCATTTGTCAAACACATGAATTAACATAACCGCCTGTGGATGAGATCATGTTCGAGTATGCTAAACAGTGACGTCATTACAACCTCCCCTCCGGTCCTTGATGTCGGCCAAAACGGAAGATCATGCCTAAATAACATAATCTACCATAAACATTTATGTTGATTTATGCCGCGAAAAATACCTTTAGGTACACGACACACGTCGGTTCTAGACAGACGCGGACAGTTTGTAAATATAAATGTCAGTTAGTTGTATGTGTACCGTATGCAGATTAAGAAGCGGTCATTGTTTTAAGTATGGTGCATCTAAAGAAAATAGGTGTAAAAGAAAATGATAGGTGTACGTGTGGAAAACTGGAGGATTTACAACATATTTTTTTTTAATTATCAAAATAATTTTTATAATATTTATACATTTTTAGATAGTTTAGATATTCCAAAAAATTTTATAAAACCTGTTACACTTTTTGATGTATTGTTTAAACTTCTGTATTTCGGTAATGTTAAAAAAATATCAAAATTTATACAAATGTCTAAAATTAAGCTGTAAAATATTGTAATTATTTACCTGTTGTTACCAAATGGCTGTATCATCTTAGCTATGTAGGCCAATAAATTATAAAAAAAAAAAAAAAATATCGTAGAATCCTGAATTTGAATTTTAAATTCTGAGTTCACGATTGTGTTATCCTCTATGAACTAAGCGAAATGGTTGTAGCTGTTTTGTGTGAAATTTGAGGACAATAAATATCTTTTGTAATATTACAACAAGTCGGAGAACGTATTGCATTAGTAACACATGCCACATGAATAAATGTAGCAACCCCAATGTGGTGTTCTTTAATTAACCAAAGTAAGATATAGTCATGTAAGTTACACAAGTAGTAGCCAACTTTTGTCACAAAGTAGGTATTTATTTCTATGATTTATTTACTATTTATTGTTTTAGAGCAAAAAAATGGCTTCAAAACGTTAGAAATCGAGACAGGCGTAACAAAAAAGTTACGAAAAACCAGCTGGGTCTGAATCTGTGCCGCTACTATGGAATTTATGGAAATTCAAGCTAGCAGATCCGCTGTTTTTTCGGACCTGGGCTAAGCTACACATTTGCAAATAGTGTAACAAAAAAGCTACAAAAAACCCGCCAGGTCTTGAATGGTGCCGCCACAGAGTGCCCGCTAGCTTGATATAGCTCAACAGGATCCGTTTATGTCGCGAAAAATACCTTTTTGATAGTAAGAGAAAATCAAATATGTGAAATCTGGTACATAAAAAAGCATTCTGGCAACACTGGTTACTAATAATCTTTCCTCCATGCTGGTTACTATCATTGCGTTCGGTTTGCCACGTTCCTTTAACACTTTTAACTCCAAACGACTCTTTTAGCGTTCGGTTTAGTCCGATTAGTGACAGTTTAACACGCTTAAATGTCATTTAAAAGCACCCTAAAATTTGTCCCGCTCCAGCCCCTGACTGACCGAACTCGCCTAAAATCATAACTTGTCAATTGTCATTGCCCACGGACAGCATTTTGACAGGTCTTTTATTTTAGTAATTTAAATTTTTTGTTGAATAATAATTAGCGAATTTTTATGATGTATGTAAAACAAGAAGAATGCTTAGATCTTCGTGAAGATATTTTAAAAAAAGAACCAAAACTTGTTTCTGGACAACAAATTTATAAAAACGAACATGACGATGTTTTTAAAGAATTTGAGACCAAAACCCCTGGACTAGGACAGGATGTTGAAATTAAACAAGAAATTATTGAATATGAAAATTGTCAAGAGCCTAAAATTGAAGAACGTTCTGATATGCTGCCAAAAATTGACCATGATTCAATGTTCAAAGAAAACATGCCATTTTGTCCTACAACTATTAAAAAAGAACTCGACAACACTAGTGAAGTGAACCAGACGGATATTAGAGATATGAAGGAAGAGTTTGGCGAATATGTTCAGTCTAAATTTGAAATTTTAACTACCCATTGTGATTTACCGACTTTGAAAAATGAAAATACTGAATCGGAGACTGAATATTTAGATTGTTCGACAGAGTCGTGCAAAAAGGAACAAGACCAAAGGATATCTAAAAAAAATAACTCAAATGTTTTGAATATAAAAAAGAAAAGTCAAAAATGTAAGTACCTATTATACAATAATTACCAGCAAAAACAATTTAGTTTTTATACCTAATAACTCGTAATAAGATTTCCACTCTATAATGTTTATTTATATCTTGCACACATAGATGTTTCACACCTAGGTACATAGTTTATTTATTTTATAGTTGGTCCAAATCCAAATATGTAAGGTTGAAAAGTAATTAGGTTCTTTCGTTCGCTGTGGGTTCAGTGTCTACCAGTGTAAATTACACCACCTTATTTACCTGATTTACTTCATCCTTATTCCTTATAAACACGTCGAGTGTTATTCATTCCTGCTAAATAGTTGGTGGAGAAAATATCCACCAGTGGACACCACATCACCGACAGGTGTAGTGGATTTTACACCAGGTCAAACGAAAGGTTCAGTGTCTGTTGGTGTAGTTCATTCCTACACTAGTGGGACGAACAAAGAACCTTTTGTTTCATTCAAATGACAAATCTTGTTTTATAGTAACTAATAAAATATACCTACCCTATAATATCTAGGAATCTATGGTAGATGCAGCCACTACCTAAAATTGTGGCATTTGCGCCCTATCCTACTTTTGGAGCTTACCTGCTTTTTAAGAAGGGTCAAGTTAGTGGCAGTTGCGCCCTGTTTTTTTGCAGGTAGGTAGTAGGTGGATAAACTTAAAATAACTGCTATACATTTTTAGTATTGTAAATTTTATTATTTTTATGTTGAATCATTGGAAGATGGGCTATAACTATCCCAAAAAAGTTTCTTATGCACCTATTTCTTTTATTTTCTTGTATTTCTGATTAAGAGTTGTTAGCGGCCATATCTCAGAATATCTTTAAGAATAATTAAAAAAAAAACAAAAACTGGATGATTTTTATTTCAAGGGGCACACCTTTTCATCATATCCTTAATTTTCATATGTTATTCTTCTCCCCACCATCACTGACTAATATAATTTAGATAGGGAAAGTACCAAGTATGAGGCATCATCGAAAAGAGGAATTATGAATTCAGCAATACCTATTAGTGTGCATTGGATTACTTTTAGTTTTAGCGCCAGTTAGTATTTTAAAGTGTGACATTTAATTTAAAAGATTATTTTATTAGTAATTCAATACACTTAGATAATATTATGTTAACTAAATCAACGATGAACTTAAAATGAAAAATATTGCATTGTTACTAACTTTATTTTGTTGCAAGTGCAATATGGAGATATTTAGTTTAAGACCACAGTACCACCCCCAATATTCGTAACATGAACTAATTTTGATAGATGTCATTTATGTGTCATAAATTAAGAATCCTTTTGTTCAGCAGATGGAGCAATATTCCATATTTAATAGTTCTTTTGTTCAACAGATGGCGTACTAATTTTATTAATTCTAAAGGGAACAGCCGGTTGCAAGAACGATTGTTAAAATCTCTCGTTAGCTAAAGAACAAATAACTAACTGAGATTAAAACTGGCAACGGCGCTTTTCCAACTGACAGTCTGTCGCTTCACAGCTGATCACGGGAGATTTTTATATTAATGAAGTTAATTTGGTAATATTTTTTCGAAAACTAATTACAAATAAAGTAAAAAATGAAATTGAGGCTCAACCTTTACGGCTATGGTTAAATGTTAACACTATCCCTATCTTTTTTCGACATCGGCTCATATTTTTTAATATACAGAAGCAAGGACAGTCGGTTCAGAGAAAAAATGTTTTACACATGAATATAATTTCTTAAAATAAATAGAATGGCTTAAATGAAGAAAAGGTTCCAAGAAGTCACTGGAAAAAGAGGAAAATACTCATTTAACTGCCCTTCTAGTAGTGCCCGATTAAAAATCTGTGATTTGTGGTTTAAAGCAACAGTATTTAAATATAGTTTGTCCCTTTTATATAAACTAAAACTATTTTTTCTTGTACTTACTTTACATTTTCTCTTCCCGTTTGTCATGGAAAAGCACATTTCTTTCTACTGTACATTATTTTTTCAAATAGAAGTACATAATTAAAAACGTGTTTAGTTTTTATCATGTGTGCAAACCCCATTTACTGTGGTAATATTTCCAATGTATTTTCTATTTTTAACAAACTTCAAAAAAGAAGTAGGTAGGTTCTCAATTCATCGGAATATATTTTTTTATGGATATTCAGCGACAATTCTTTACGATGTTAGAAAGGGGGCTCCTCAGAGATGGTTTCATATATAAATTTGGTAAAGATCTGATGATGGGATTCATGAGAAAATAATCACTCTTCGTATTTTGTAGTCGTTAGTTTTTTTAAATTAATTTTGTAACTTATACATTTTTCAATGAATCAAAGTAAAAAACTGTTTAAATTGGTAAATTTCTAAAGTTCAGTATCTATTTTTTAGTTAGAAAATGAAAACTGGAGGAGAGATGGTAAAATCTCTGGTATGAGAAATAAATTCACATTTGACCTATTCTTGAAAATCATATACAGTTCCTTTAATCCCTTCAATTTGGATGCTATATTTCTTTGCTAATAAACTAATGCTAGAATATATTTTTTATTTAAGAACAACTTTCTATTTGTACAATATTGGCATTTCTAGATTGTTGAGAAAATTAAATAATTATTATATGATAATTAGCTTTTATAGGTTGTGTAATAGTTGAAATTTAGAATATTAAATAATTGCTATGTAAATTACACTTATTTACCTTAATATATTTGCTTTCACATTTATAATTTACAGATTTGTAGCTCATAAATAAAACACCAAATTCATTTTAAAATTTTATTTTTTAGGATTAAATAAATATATACAAAATACATAACATAATAAAAAAATATAATAAATCTACAATAAATAAAAATACATTTAATTTGCCCATCATTATTAAGAATTCTAATTCTAGAAAATAAACATTCAATTCAGGATTTCTTTTTGGTTATGACAGGTTTCAAGTTGACTAGTAATTTTGTGTTAAATTTTACAGTTTGCCTAACGTATTGGATATGTCTACTTAGCCAGTTCCACATATTTAATAAATGTATAAAAAGAAATGGATTATTTCAACATAGGTACAAACAATAAAAATGTTATTGTTATTACTGATAGTAGTTTACTGCTAAATATTTACTTTTTCTGAAAATAGGCAGGCAAAAACTATAAAATAATATTAAATATGGTTGAGAATAATGAGAATGTATAAATACATAACATTTATACGAATTAAAAAGTTTTTAACAATATAAGTAGAGATACCAAGCTCCACAGTTATATGACTTAAAATTATTCATGCTATCATCTCATGAAATATTTTAAAATACTTAGCAAACACCTATATTACTACAAAGTAATGCCTATTTAAAAATAAAAATATATTGCTACAAGGCTATATGTTAAAACTGAATCATATTTTTATTTTGTAACATTCAGTATATGTTTTTGTTAACTTGATTCCTTTGATTATATTTGTCAATATGATATGTTTTAGAAGTATCTTTTCAATAAAAAGTCAAATCGATTTTTTAATATCTGGTTTTTTATAAGTTTTACTGTTTCTGGTTCTATTCCATATTTGGATCATTTTTGAAAATATATTTGAACGGTTAGTTCATTTTGTATTTTACATTTTTGGTGACCCCGACGTGATCCCATCGAGATGGATAAGACCAAGAAGTATTTTGGAGTTGTATGTGTTTCTTTCCAAAATATTTGCGATGAAACGGAGGCGATTCTTAAGAGCAAGGAACCTGACCAGAAGGTGTTAAAATGCAATGTTGAAATATTAGAAAAAAAGGTGTCTTCATTGGTTGATCTCCATGATCAGTTAATCGGTTATATGTTGGATGAAGCTTGTGATGAGAGAGTTATTCTACAAGAAGTAGAGATCATGGATGATGTTAATCGCAAGTATAAGTCTATTAAAATTTCTGTAGATCAGCTATTTAATTCAGATGCGATAGAGTCAGTTAAGAGTAACAAAACAAGTTTAAAGTTGCCAAAGATAGAATTTGTTAAATTTTGCGGCGATATTAAGAATTGGTTAACATTTTGGTCACAATTTAAACGGATTGATGAGAACGAGGACATGGCTCTAGAGGATAAGTTCCAATATCTTATTCAAGCTACAACACCAAAGTCTAGAGCCCGACAATTAGTAGAAAGTTATCCACCTACTCATGATAACTACCCAAAGGTCATCGAAAGTCTTAAGTCTAGGTTTGGTCGTGATGATTTACTTGTTGAATTTTATGTTAGGGAGTTATTAAAATTAGTTCTCAATAATTTGAATACCAAAAGTAGCTTAACAAAATTGTATGATAGTATAGAATCTCAATTACGGTCTTTAGAAACTCTAGGTGTAACATCCGATAAATACGCAGCTATGCTCTATCCTATGGTAGAATCGTGTTTACCAGAAGAAGTATCTTTTCAATAAAAAGTCAAATCGATTTTTTAATATCTGGTTTTTTATAAGTTTTACTGTTTCTGGTTCTATTCCATATTTGGATCATTTTTGAAAATATATTTGAACGGTTAGTTCATTTTCTGATATCAGGAGAGCATTTTTACAAATTAGCCTCATGGTAGAAGATAGAGATTATTTAAAATTTTTGTGGTATGATATTAATGGGCAACTGAAGACGTATAGACATAGAAGGGTTGTTTTTGGTGTTACATGCAGTCCGTTCCTCTTAAATGCTGTCATACAATTCCATTTGAAGAATATCTTAGTTGAAACTAGGAAAGGTGTTGACGTTTTTTCAGAAGATGTTATTTTAAAATTATTAGAGAGTTTTTATGTTGACAATGCTGTTACAAGTGTAAAAGATGAGGAACAATTGAAATGTTTTATGTCTCAGGCTACCCAGGTAATGGACCTTGCAAAATTTGAACTTCGTTGTTGGGAGCATACTGTCCTTAATGATCAGGTTTTAGGAAATGTAGTTTCACCTGTTTTAGGTTTAAATTGGAATCGTCATAGGGATACATTAATGTTAAATATGGAATGGTTTCAGGATATTAAGTTGGATGTGGT